GTGAGAGCAGGCAAAGAGAGCCAGCAGATGTACGGTCACTAAACATGTTTTCCCAGCTACTGAACGAACAGTCATCATTAACATAGATCTACATGAGTTGTGCACAGATCTGTAGAACCAGACATCACATAGGTCTGTTCAAAACTCTAGCCCTAGCCAATTGGCTCTCCAAAGTATTACGTGAATAGTGGCAAACAATATGACAAAAGGTCACAAATATATATATGTCAATTTGAGCGAAGTGAGCTTTTACACAGCATGTGCTTCAGCAGTCTATTGATTTAAACAAAAGTTTAGTTATCAACATTAGTGTGTATTCCTAGTTTAGGACACATTCAGTATGGTATCAAAGAGAAGAAGATATGACTCTTGTATTGTATGTAATCAAATTGCTCTACAATAAAATAATCTGGAATGCACACACATAGTAAAATTGGACCGCAGTGCAAACCTTTCCTTAAAAATAATATTTAATATATGACAAATTTTTAAACAGTCAAACCCGTGTAAGACGGCCGCCCATTGTCAAGGATAAAAGTGGCCGTATAAGACAGTTGGCCATCTCAGGCAGGACTATCAAAATGAAGAAAACAAACCATTTATTTCTGAGGTTCCAACCGAAGGTAGCCGCATTGTCGTTGTTGTTGCTGTTGTTTCCGTTGGTTTGCTTTTTGTTTGTCTTTTTTTTTAGTTTGTTGTTGATTGTGGGCAAGGGGAGAAATGGAATGTGGCCGTTTATACAAGTGGCCTCATGACAGGTTTAACTGTATATTTTAATGTGTATGAATTTCACTCTAGATCTATACCTGATGATAAGATGGCAGACAGACAAAGTTGGACAATTGTATCAAAATTTACATGATGAAATATAGCCCCATGTCAAAATGCAAGTTGTGCTTTTAGTTTTGCATGTTTTGCAAATTTGGATAAAATTTGACATGATTTTTTTACTATCCACCTCTTTTAAGACCAAATGTTATTCACAAATGAAAAGCCTTTCCATTCCTTTTACTCCCATTTTCTTACAACTCTCTAACAATTTCACCCAGATTTAACTTTAATGTCGACAAGATGCGGCATAGTGTGCAATCTGTGCTTCTCCAACCATAGACACTCAA